TGCCGATGGATACTCCTTTCTGGCGAACATAGTAAATTGTTTTAGGACGCGTTCAATTTTGCTCCCATAGACATCATAAAAAGGCAACCACACCAATGAACAGTACTCGAGATGTGACTGAACTAGGGCATAGTATAATGATTTTAATGTTTGAACATCAGTTATGTCAAAGCAAAACCTTTTGACAAAACCAAGGGCAGCCGTTGCTTTGGATGTGATAGCATCAATGTGTTTGGCAAATGACAATTTACTATCTATAATGGTACCCAAATCTTTGTGCTCCGTCACACGGTCAAACACATGGTCGCCATAGGTGTAATTTGTAGTTGTGATCGATTTACCCCTATGTATTGATAGCACGGCACATTGTCGAGATTTAGGTGTAAAAAATTTGTGTCATACCATCTTTTTAACTTGTCAATAGCTTGTTGCAAGACGTTGGCATCATGCTCGGTTTTAATCATTTTGGCTATTTTGACATCATCGGCAAATAGTGAGATGAAAACATCATCCATGTCGTACACGATGTCGTTTATAAATAGTAGAAATAGTGTCGGCCCAAGATGACTGCCCTGCGGTACGCCCGATGTGCCGTTGAAGTCAGCCGATTCGCTGTTGCCATATTTAACGAATTGGCTTCTGCCCGATAAATACGATCTCAGCAACGAAATAAAATTGATCGGAAGATTGAATGTACCCAGTTTGCTTGATAGCTTGTCATGACAGACTTTATCCAATGCTTTACTAAGTCTGTGTACAATACATCCACCTGTACACCATTATTTAATCCTCTTTGGGCATAGTAGACAAATTCCGACATGTTTGATGCAGATGATCTTGCCCTCATGAAGCCGTGCTGCTTGAGGGTAATTTTGTTTTGCAAAAGTGCAAGCATTTTGACGTTGACTAGGTGTTCAAAAAACTTCGCTTTCGTAGGCAGCTTTGCAATGCACCTATAATTTTCAATTTTTGATCGAGCACCCTTCTTGAAAATTGGCGTAACACTTGAACGTTTCCATTTGTTTGGAAATTGGCCACTTGATAATGATTCATTAAAAATAATGGTGAGTGGCATTGCAAGCTGATGAGCACACCCCCTCAGCAAGAGTGGATGGATGCCATCTGGTCCAGCACCCTTTTTACAGTTGGTAGCCAAAAGTTCTTCAAGTACGAAGGCATGACTGAGCTGAAAGTCATTGTGTACAGTGGAATCATCTAGTTGATGTTGATGATGAGTCATCGTTGATTGTTGAGCATCATAATTGTCGCTGAAAAATTTGGCAAACAAATCAGCCTGTTCAGTTTCGTTCGATGTGCGGTCATCACCAAGTTGCAGCACTTTTGGTTTGTTATCGGTGCTCTTTTTAGAGTTGACATATTGCCAAAACGATGATGGATTTCGTTTCAATGACGTTTTCATCTTCTCCACGTAAATGTTGTACAACGTAGTATTTAGTTGATCGAAGTTTTCGAATGCCGAATCGAAGCGGTCTCTTTCACCTGTACGTTTGAAATTTTTCCAGGCCTTGTTCTTTTTGTTCTTCAGTGCTTGCAGTAATTTGTTGTTCCAGGGACATTTTACGTTGTGCTTGACGATGTGAGTTGGAACAAAATTGTGAATAGCATTATCAATCACGTTATGAAGTAATTGGACCTTCTCGATGAGCGATTTGTCACGGAACAATTCTGGAAAATTAATGTTGGCCAAATGTTCATTCATAGCTGCATAGTTCGCACGTTTGAAACAGAATGTTTTCTGTTGATGGCCTTCTGCTGCAGTGTTTTGTGTATGCCATTCGAATGTGGCTAATATTGGCGGATGTTAGTCGTCAATTCTCGTAAGTGGTTTGGCATGATCAATGGAAATATTCGTGAAATCATTAGTAGAGAATAGATTAAGTAATCTATTGTTTTGATTGCGAATACCATTTACCTGATGAACTCCCATGCTCATGAGTCCCGTAATGAAATCACAGGAAAAAGCCGGATTAAAAACGGTCGCTATCATCAGTTGCCCATTCAACGTTCTGCAGGTTGAAATCTCCCACGATAATCACAACATCTTCAGGGTCAGTGGCGATAGAGTGCATTGCGGTGAGGTGCGATTGATACACATCGGCGGGCGTTTTTGATGGAATGTACGAGGGTCACTATTTAAGTTTTTTCAAAAACATATATAAGACAA